CTCTGAGCATTTTTTATTAAAATTTTAATTTTTATTGCATTTGAATCTAACATTATCGAAAATTAAAATGCAATAAAAATTAAAATTTTAATAAAAAATACTCAGAGCCCCATTTTCCTAGCAAACCTCTCATATTATAAATTTAAATTTAATAAATTTAATATAAAAAGATTTTTTCTATATTTAAAAATTTGTAATATATTAAAAATTCATTATATTATAAATTTGATATATTAAAATTCGTTAAAGAAAAAGTTGATTATATAATTTATTTATCTCAAAATTATTTAAACTTATTTTTTTTCTCATTGTTTATTATATTTATTTATATATTAATATAATTAAAATCAGAATCGACAAAGTATTAAATTAGTTATTAGCTATTAAACATATGAAAAGACAAGTTGCAAAATATGTCTTATTCTTCAAATATATGATTTTATAATTAAAACTAAATCAGGTATTAAAAATTAAAATGTTAATACATTCTCTTGAATAGTTCTAGTCAATATGGCATTAACTAACTAATATAAAGAAAAATATTTTATATTTATAAAATTAATCTTAAAATTCATCTAATTTCATATCTGATTCTTTTAAATCTGAATCTGAAAATTAGATTAACATTAAATTTTTATTTTTTATCTAGATTTTTATTAAAATCTTTTATAACTTTTTTTACAAGATATTTTCAACTTAACTATCTAATATAATTAGTTTATCTATTGTCTAATTTGGTTTTTTTTTATATAATTTAGAAATTTCTACTTTTAAGAATTGATTTTTTATTACTTCTAATTATTCTGATATTTTTTTAATTTTTTGATATAATTACAATATAATTTATATAACTTATATTATAACTTAAAATACTATAATTTTATAACTCTAACTAGAATTTAATAAATAATTTTAAGATTGTATAACAAGCCATAATATTAGCTAATAAAACTATTACTAAATTAGTTTTTAAATTGTTTAATATTATAAGTACAATATTATCTGATTATGTTATCTATAAAATATAATAGTTTCTAAAGTAAAATCTGTATAAAATCACTTTATATTATGCTAAACTAAGTTATCAGATCTTGATTAAAGTTAACATATAATTATTAGTAATAGATAAGATATTTACTATAACTAAAATGATCTCTCTATTCAAATTTAATAATATCTATAATACTAAATACTTAATTTGATTTTAATATAATGTTGTTTACTTAGGATGTTATATTTTAGATAATAAATTATAGGTGAATAATTAGTGATAATTATAAATAAAACTTGAAACAAAGATACTTATTTTAAATAAACTGGCATGCTAATAATACCTTAATTAGACTAATATATTAATAAATATTTTTATAAATATTTAAATATTAATACTTATTAAATTATTTTAAAATATAAAAATATAAATCATAAACATTTTTTAAAATTTTAAAATATTAATATATCTTACTATATAAATATTTATATAGTTATTATAAAGTATTGAATATAAAAAACTAAATTTTTGTAAATATAATATATAGAAAGTTGCTAAAAAAAAATCAGGTTTTAAGAAATTTTAATAAATTTTTGATTTTTCTTATATTATAGTTTTTGATGATATCTTTTTAGCAATCTTTCTTTCTATATAATTTTTTTTTTTGGATTAAACACTTGATTTGTTAACTAAAAGTTTAATAATAATAAATAATATTTAAAATTTGTCTCAATAGTTAATATTAAGCAATAAACTTTATTGATTTAATATAATTAATTAAGTTAAAAATTTTTCTTATAAAATTTTTTTTTTAAAAATAAATTGTTAAAAAATAAATTGACTTTTAAATTTTATATATTTAGTTTTGAAACATGTTTTTTTTTATTAAAAGAAAGTTATTAAAAAAAATTTAAAAAATGTATTAACGTTAAACAATTAGAGTATAAAAAATAAATATATTAATTGAATTTTTGATTTTTCTTTTTCTTTTTATTTTATTATAAAGAATATATTTAATCAAATTTAAAATATGATTTTAAATTTTATATGTTATTTTAATTTGCTTATATTAATGTTCAACTTTGGTTGATTTTATGAAATACGAAATACATTACAATTGATTTTTAAAATAACAAAATATTATGTCACGTGATTCACAAGAACCAAATTTTATTTTCCGATATATTTAGATCACAAAGTCAACAAGACGAAAAAAGGGAAAAAAACAATAAAGCATGAATAGATAAGACGTTCGTACTGGTTATTTACAGTACTATTGTTTCTTGAGATAATGCAACGAGAAACAGAATACGAAATACGAAATTCAATATCGCATGACCGCAAACAAAGCTGTTGTTATGCATGTTGTAAGCGAATGATACTGCGGATGCCGAAAATTTAAATACCGTGTTATATGCCAAGAATGCATGATGCTTTCCCTGTAGTACGAGAACATTTATTTTTCTTTCCCTTTTTATGCTAAGGACATTTGCCATTCGGCTGTGAATTCCTAATTGAAGTCAAGATGTTCAATTCTACAGTTTACGATAACTGGACTAGAGCACTTGATACACAGTGCAAATAAAAAATGTCATTACATCATGTAGAATGAAAAATTTTTTTTCAGCTTTTATTTACTCGATGCATTTCATACTGTTGTACTGTTTGGGTTAAAGTATAATTTTCTGATTTAGAAATTTTTGCTTCTCTGATCCACCGGATTTTTTGGAAAGCGGCTCCAAGTAATCACAAGGTTTAGTAATCGGAGTATTTTTTCATAAAAAAAACCCCCCTATCGAATAATACCCGGGATAAAAAAAATGTAAGAGAGAGTTGTGTGTAGCTTTGCTTTATTAACCAATAAAAAAAAAAAAATGGGTAGTAAGTATGAAAATGGCAATTATTCGGCGTCAATACATAACCTTGAATTATTTGTTATACAATTTGAAACTAGTTTTATTATTAACCTTTTATATATTAAATTATCAAGGAATAATTATTGCATGCATATCACAAGCACAACATACGATTTGAATAATTACACCTGCAAGTTTTAAACATTTTTGAACTTAAAATGTTCGAAACTACTTTTTTTTAACGAGGAATAGACCAGCTGTCAAGTGTTATTATGTAATGAATATTATATATATAACTTTAATTTTGGCTATGAGTGGATGCTCATAATAAAGAATTTGTAGTTCTTTTATTAGGTAATAGAACATTAAAAAAAGGTAGAAGTGTTCTTTGTTCAATTTCCAACATTTTGTATCAACTTCGGGAGTTTGAATAGTTATAATTATTTGGTCCAAAATTAAAAATAAAATTTACAAAAGGAACCGTTACACCCCCCAGAAAAGGGATGTTTTGGTCCCAGCTGTGTTTTGAAAAATTTTATCGAATCATGGAGAATGGGTATGACTAAATGCGACAACATGATGTACTGGTATATATTTATTACAAAGATTCATTGAACTTTTTAGAATGAAGAAATACTTAAAATGGTCGAATGGCTGAATTTCACCTTGGAACAAAATTCATCTCGTAAATAAAAACGTCTGCAGGGTCCTTAAAAACACAATTATTGATACAAAACGAAAATAATCAATTTAATTTGTTTATTTATTTGAGACAGGTTCGTTATTATTATTTAATGAACATGTTTTTTTGAAGAACAATATAGGGTTGAAATTGCTATGTCATGTTAATAGAACAAACAAAATCCCTGTTGATCACAACAGTAGTATTCGCACAAACTAGGATAACAACTCGGATTACTATTTAAATATGGTCCTGGTTCCTGCACCGTGAGAATTTCTTTGAATAATTTATAGAGATTTAATTATCATCGATTCTGTCAAATATTTAAGAGATTTAACGATATTGTCAAAGAATGACCAATACCAACCCGGTATATTTTTTCCTACAATTGAGTTGACCATAAAATTGTTGGGTTGATCTTCTTTAGCGAATAATTTTGATAACATTAAGTATAGTAAATGATTAGCGGAAAATTCGGAAAACTCTCAAAGAGGTATAGGATTGTAACACGCAGAAATCGTTATCAACATGGCACCAACGAAATGAAAATTCTGCACGCCCAAAATTTTGTTGTCCGAAAAAGATCTACTTATGCGAGTAAATATTTGAAAAAAGCGCGAGGCGTAGCTCGAAACGTGGCTGTTTATTTGATGGCATACATACCCTTTATAATATCATCTAATGATACATATTTAAAAGTTGACAATCAATGGTAATTTTTTTTTTTTTCCCAGATATTCTATAAAGAACATGCAAACTATAAAATATGATGTTGTACATACATCGGTAAAATATAAAAAAGGTCGAATTGCATATATAATTTTTTTTCTAAGCAAATTTATCATTCCTTTCCATTTTTTTTTCTTTTTCAAAAAAAAAAAAAAAAAAAAATAACCAAAACGAAAATGTCTCTTTTTAAAAGAAAGATAAAGATACTTACATCGCCTTACAAACGTAATACAATTTATTCTTCGATTAAAGAACAAGAAACGTTGTTAACAATTATTAACGAGTTAAATGAGATATTCATAAAAGAACATAACTTAGGTCGCACAATGTCAAAAATACGAAATTCTTTGGTGAAGCAAATTAAATTACGAAAACAAAGCGCAACCAAAATTTATAATCATCTCTCAGGAATTCATGATAGCAAGCCCGAACTCACATGCCTATTAGGCTGGTTTAATTTAAGAGCCATTGGCACAAACGAGAACCTCGACGAAGCCTTCAATTTATTTACAAAATCAGCTTCAAAAAATTATGCACTGGGACAATTTTATTTGGCCATTTGTTACGAGCAAGAAATTGGCATAGTAAAAGATGAATTAATGTCATTATTTTGGTATCAAAAGGCAGCGGAAAATGGAGAAACTTCGGCTCAAGTTAATTTGGGTCTTGAATATGAATTAGGGACGAATATAGAAAAGGATTATAACATGGCAACAAAATGGTATCAAAAAGCTGCTGAAAAAGGACATTTAATCGCCATGTATAATTTGGGTAGAATGTTTGAACATGGTTATGGTGTTGAAAAAAATTTTGATAAAGCATTTAAATTCATGGATTTATCTGCTCAAAGCGGATACCCTAATGCCGCCTTACTACTTGGTAATTATTATATAAATGGGAAAGGGTGTAATTCCAATTTAGATTTAGCATTTAAATATTTTAAAATAGCTGCAAAAAAGAATGTGGTGGGTGCTCAATATGTTCTTGCTATAGCTTATGAAGAAGGTCAAGGAACGAAAAAGAACTTTAAAAAAGCAATTTATTGGTATAAAGTTGCCGCCAAAAATGGCCACCAAGATGCTAAAGATATTCTTTTAGAATATTTACTTGATGATAAAATTTATTTGAAAATTTAATATAATTCAATTTTTAAAGTGTAAATAAAAAAAAATAAAATAAAAAAAAAATAATTTAGAATTAGTATTATTGTAATAAAAGTGAACGTTATGAAGTATGTAACACTTAGTCTAAAATTTTGAATCTATGTATTACATTACGAAATTATGAATTTATTTATTTATGATTACAAGTTTTTTACTTTTATGATTCCCCTATGATTTCGTCACATGATTATTTAAGTTAAATTTAAGCAATAAATATTTATTTATTTAATTTACTTTGGAGGATAAAAAAGAAATGTGTAATCGTTTTTCCCATGTTGTTTTAAATTGTTTAAATTCATTTCACCTTCGATTGATAGACAACTTCGATCTATTGGGAAAGGAAATTAATATCAGGTAAGCTTTTCTGCTTTTAATACTTTTGTCGTTCATCCCGTTGTATATGAAACAACCTAAAACTAAAAAGAAAAAAAATTTTTTTTGACATATTTGTTGACCTATTAAAACTTATCATGATTTATTTGATTAAGTATGATAACATTACAGAATATTAAATGCAATTGGTTTATCAATATACAGTGTGTTTTATAGAAATTACTTTCTAGGTTCATTCATAAATATTTTAAGTGACGAACTATTAAATGTCATTATTCAGTGTTTCATTTCGTTGTGGTTGCTATAATTTAGCTTTAGGTATATATTTTTTGGTTATCATCAATTGAGCAATTGAATGTTCGTATTAACATCATTGGAATCCAAATAATATGGTAATTAGATAGTAATATATATCCATTTGATGATTATTATCAGGTTTTATCAGATTTATTACTACTTACTAGATCTTAGGAATGATCTGCACATGCGCCACGGTCTTAGAACTTTAGGCCTCGTTTTATATTTCTTGGCATTATTCAAGAGAAGACTAGTGAATTAAACCTTTATTTTATTTATGATTGAGTCCTTAATTTAGCAATTTGCATTTGAAATACAACCCAATTATCGAACGTAATTTCGGCATCGACAATGCATTTACCAAAATAAAACTTTATTTCATCAATCAATTTCGAATATTACATAAAAAAAAAGATCCATATGCGATAAAATTTAATTATAAAACTGAAAGAAAAAAATGAAACCCCTGATCTCGCGCCAAGAAATTACTTTTTCCTATTGTATGCATGCTGATTAAACACGAAAGACTTAACTTATTTAATAAATAAGGGGACACTCAAAATGCACCTTCATTCGATTCATTTTTATTGCAAAAAATAAAAAAAATAAGGTTCTTGTTATGAAAAACTGTGGTAAGAAAAATGATAATTAGGATTCGTAGACTGCAACAATCATTCTGGAAGTTTTTTCGGATAACTTACATTTTCAAATTTGATTATAGCAACTTTAATTTTCATTCTGGCTAAAACGGTTATATATAATTTCTTTAAATCTAATATACTTTTTGATGATGTTTCAAAGTATAATATTTTTTTTTTTTGAAATATTCACTTTTTTTACATGATTATACTTCATGGTTAAAGAAGGTATTGATATTGATGATAATTTTGTTAAATTATCATTTCCAGATATTTTTTTATAATATTATATTAAAAAATGCCTAAATTTTTATAGAAATAAATATTATTATAATAATTTTTATATTTATTTAAAGTTAATAAAGTCTTTTAAAAAAAAAATACATACAGTGAGACCTCTTTTTTCTATAAATGCATATTCTATACAATCTATATATAAAGATCATATAAAATTTCTCTCTTTAAAAATACATTCTCTTTAAATTATGTTCTTAAGTGCAATTAAAGAGGTTTACTATATACAGTCGACCCCTCTACAGTCACCCCCTATACAATCACATCATATAAATCCTCCGTTATAAGCACACCTTTCATAAAAACCAGTTCCTATTAACACTATACAAAAAAACCCTTCTATAATCACAATGTTATTATAGTCACATCATTTTGGAACTAATACTTAGTAATACTATAAATAATCCTTCTATATAGTCACTTTTCACTATAGTCACACTTTTTATTTTTGGTCCTGAGGGGTGTGACAGTAGAGAGGATCGACTGTATATAATTTTATTTAATCAATAGTATAATATTTATAAATTAAATATTAACTTTTAACTTTAGTCAAATTACAATAATTAAAAGTATAATAAATCTAGTAAAATTTTAATAGGTTAAATAATTAAAGTTTATATTTAAAAATTATAAGAATTGAATAACTTTTTTATAATATAGGAATTTATTAAAATATATAATATATAATATGAAAATTTTCAGATATTTTTACAATTTAATATAATATAAATTGTATTAATAGTATTATTTTTAATCTAAATTTTTCTAAATAAAAAATTATTTAATAATTAATTTCTATTAATTGATTATTTTTTAAAAAGAATTTGTTATTTTTAAAGATAAAAACTATAATTATTTAATGTTGCATATACATTGCAATTAGTTTAACCTATATATATTATAACTAATTTTATCTTATTGTTACCTAAGTGAAAATAAGACACAGCAAATCATATGACTAAAAATGTAATACAAAAAGCATAATTAAATATTTATCATCAAAGAAACTGCAATAAGTAATCTTATAATAGAAATGTAATTACAAATTGAAATATCAA